AACAAAAATTTAATAGAATTAGGTCGGAAAGCGCAGCAAAAATACTAAATAGACCATTCGAGTCACCAAATGCTTCAGTTATCCCGGAAATTATGACAGTGAAACATAAATTTCGACAATTAAATATTCCGACAAAGAGACTAATTTGCCACATGTTTGTTGTCATGACGCAGTCTGACATCGAAACTGAGCCTCAATTCCAGAATTCTCCACAAGGATGACCAATACAGAAAATTGCTTAGTAACCAAATGAGAATCAAAAACACAATTGCTCATTTTGAATTACTACTAACAGTTGTAATAGCTATCAGTCTGAAAGAGTCGAAAACGTTATTTCTGGTTTCATGGTTTAAATCCCAATCGCGAGCAAAAAGCTAATTTCACACCTCTTTGTTCACGATGTTTATATATACAGTGTAGTCCGTTTAGTACGACTTCGCATTTAACAACCGACCGTTTACAGCGACGTCAGTTTAGGCATACGTTTGGTTTTGTTATGAGCAACCATGGAAATACGAGTACATCCGTTTATTGCGACTCCGCTTACAACGACCGACCGCTTTCAACGACGAAATTTCACAAATAATTGTCCTGTTACAACGACGAGCGTTGACATGTGCACAAATAAATCGTTGGTAAGAAGCCAACTTCGTCCCGCGCAACCCCCCCTTGTGTAAAGACTCATTTATTCCGTGCGGTAAGCAATTGCTATCTTATGTGGAGTTCTTAACGGTTTTAAGCCAAATTGAAGCAATTCTTAATTCCAGGCCTTTAGGGATACTAAGTGAAGATCCTTTCGAACCAAGTCCCTTGACGCCAGCTCATTTTTTAAATTTAAAGCCATTAAATTACCTGCTTTCATCTAACATTGAAGAAGAAAGGATGCAACTCCTTTCTCGATACCATTTATTGGACAAATTAGTTCAATCATACTGGAACCGAAACAATACAATACAAAAATGCGTTTTTTGTATTGCACCTGGGACGAATTTAAGGCTAGGAGGCTAGGCCAAAACATAAAAATCTACTGGATTGCTTTAAAAATCATGGTCACTCGTTTCTAAAATACCGCTGGAGTATTTAAAAATATTAAAATAGAATCAAAATAAGGGAAGTCCTCAAAACAACAAAAAAATATTTAGATGTGTTCCATCTACTACTATGAGGACAAACTTGGCAAAGTGGATGCGGGATAGTGTAGATTGGTATTCTATAAACGGAAGACAGAGTAAGAAGAAGTGAGAATGACCATTGCCTGAAAACCAGTTCAGTCCAGTATATCCCACTCCTACGTTTCACTAGAGATTTTACAGCCTATATTACAGTAAGCTGAACATATCATTATATTCGATACGAGTGAGGACAGGCGTTATTCAATATATTCTCTAGTTTAAAGTAAGTTGTTTGTTTACTTGCATATTATAAACCTAACCTAATTAAATAAAATCTCTCAACAGCAAAGCATTCTTTATTGGACAATTTCAAAGAAGCAAGAAATTTAACGCTAAAAGACCGCTTCAGTATCACAAATATTAGAAATAGAACCTTAGTAAGAGATGTTCTCGAAACTTTAAAAAAACAAAAATTTAATAGAATTAGGTCGGAAAGCGCAGCAAAAATACTAAATCGACCATTCGAATCACCAAATGCTTCAGTTATCCCGGAAATTATGACAGTGAAACATAAATTTCGACAATTAAATATTCCGACAAAGAGACTAATTTGCCACATGTTTGTTGTCATGACGCAGTCTGACATCGAAACTGAGCCTCAATTCCAGAATTCTCCACAAGGATGACCAATACAGAAAATTGCTTAGTAACCAAATGAGAATCAAAAACGCACTTGCTCATTTTGAATTAATACTAACAGTTGTAATAGCTATCAGTCTGATAGAGTCGAAAACGTTATTTCTGGTTTCTTGGTTAAAATCCCAATCGCGAGTAAAAAGCTAAATTCACACCTTTTTGTTCACGATGTTTATATATACAGTGTAGTCCGTTTAGTACGACTTCGCATTTAACAACCGACCGTTTACAGCGACGTCAGTATAGGCATACGTTTGGTTTTGTTATGAGCAACCATGGAAATACGAGTACATCCGTTTATTGCGACTCCGCTTACAACGACCGACCGCTTTCAACGACGAAATTTCACAAATAATTGTCCTGTTACAACGACGAGCGTTGACATGTGCACAAATAAATCGTTGGTAAGAAGCCAACTTCGTCCCGCGCAACCCCCCCTTGTGTAAAGACTCATTTATTCCGTGCGGTAAGCAATTGCTATCTTATGTGGAGTTCTTAACGGTTTTAAGCCAAATTGAAGCAATTCTTAATTCCAGGCCTTTAGGGATACTAAGTGAAGATCCTTTCGAACCAAGTCCCTTGACGCCAGCTCATTTTTTAAATTTAAAGCCATTAAATTACCTGCTTTCATCTAACATTGAAGAAGAAAGGATGCAACTCCTTTCTCGATACCATTTATTGGACAAATTAGTTCAATCATACTGGAACCGAAACAATACAATACAAAAATGCGTTTTTTGTATTGCACCTGGGACGAATTTAAGGCTAGGAGGCTAGGCCAAAACATAAAAATCTACTGGATTGCTTTAAAAATCATGGTCACTCGTTTCTAAAATACCGCTGGAGTATTTAAAAATATTAAAATAGAATCAAAATAAGGGAAGTCCTCAAAACAACAAAAAAATATTTAGATGTGTTCCATCTACTACTATGAGGACAAACTTGGCAAAGTGGATGCGGGATAGTGTAGATTGGTATTCTATAAACGGAAGACAGAGTAAGAAGAAGTGAGAATGACCATTGCCTGAAAACCAGTTCAGTCCAGTATATCCCACTCCTACGTTTCACTAGAGATTTTACAGCTTATATTACAGTAAGCTGAACATATCATTATATTCGATACGAGTGAGGACAGGCGTTATTCAATATATTCTCTAGTTTAAAGTAAGTTGTTTGTTTACTTGCATATTATAAACCTAACCTAATTAAAGAAAATCTGTTAACAGCAAAGCATTCTTTATTGGACAATTTCAAAGAAGCAAGAAATTTAAAGCTAAAAGACCGCTTCAGTATCACAAATATTAGAAATAGAACTTTAGTAAGAGATGTTCTCGAAACTTTAAAAAAACAAAAATTTCATAGAATTAGGTCGGAAAGCGCAGCAAAAATACTAAATAGACCATTCGAGTCGCCAAATGCTTCAGTTATCCCGGAAATTATGACAGTGAAACATAAATTTCGACACTTAAATATTCCGACAAAGAGACTAATTTGCCACATGTTTGTTGTCATGACGCAGTCTGATATCGGAACTGAGCCTCAATTCCAGAATTCTCCACAAGGATGACCAATACAGAAAAATTGCTTAGTAACCAAATGGGAATCAAAAACACACCTGCTCATTTTGAATTAATACTAACAGTTGTAATAGCTATCAGTCTGATAGAGTCGAAAACGTTATTTCTGGTTTCATGGTTTAAATCCCAATCGCGAGCAAAAAGCTAATTTCACACCTCTTTGTTCACGATGTTTATATATACAGTGTAGTCCGTTTAGTACGACTTCGCATTTAACAACCGACCGTTTACAGCGACGTCAGTATAGGCATACGTTTGGTTTTGTTATGAGCAACCATGGAAATACGAGTACATCCGTTTATTGCGACTCCGCTTACAACGACCGACCGCTTTCAACGACGAAATTTCACAAATAATTGTCCTGTTACAAAGACGAGCGTTGACATGTGCACAAATATATCGTTGGTAAGAAGCCAACTTCGTCCCGCGCAACCCCCCCTTGTGTAAAGACTCATTTATTCCGTGCGGTAAGCAATTGCTATCTTATGTGGAGTTCTTAACGGTTTTAAGCCAAATTGAAGCAATTCTTAATTCCAGGCCTTAAGGGATACTAAGTGAAGATCCTTTCGAACCAAGTCCCTTGACGCCAGCTCATTTTTTAAATTTAAAGCCATTAAATTACCTGCTTTCATCTAACATTGAAGAAGAAAGGATGCAACTCCTTTCTCGATACCATTTATTGGACAAATTAGTTCAATCATACTGGAACCGAAACAATACAATACAAAAATGCGTTTTTTGTATTGCACCTGGGACGAATTTAAGGCTAGGAGGCTAGGCCAAAACATAAAAATCTACTGGATTAATTTAAAAATCATGGTCACTCGTTTCTAAAATACCGCTGGAGTATTTAAAAATATTAAAATAGAATCAAAATAAGGGAAGTCCTCAAAACAACAAAAAAATATTTAGATGTGTTCCATCTACTACTATGAGGACAAACTTGGCAAAGTGGATGCGGGATAGTGTAGATTGGTATTCTATAAACGGAAGACAGAGTAAGAAGAAGTGAGAATGACCATTGCCTGAAAACCAGTTCAGTCCAGTATATCCCACTCCTACGTTTCACTAGAGATTTTACAGCTTATATTACAGTAAGCTGAACATATCATTATATTCGATACGAGTGAGGACAGGCGTTATTCAATATATTTTCTTGTTTAAAGTAAGTTGTTTGTTTACTTGCATATTATAAACCTAACCTAATTAAAGAAAATCTGTTAACAGCAAAGCATTCTTTATTGGACAATTTCAAAGAAGCAAGAAATTTAAAGCTAAAAGACCGCTTCAGTATCACAAATATTATACAGTAAGGGTGAAATCGATCTTTTGTACATATGTGCTGCGTATATTCCCCCCTCCTGTACAAAAGCATATTTTAAAGCACTTTATTCATAACGCCAATTGTATTATTGAAAATCTCAGCTCTAACATCATCGTTCTTGGTGATTTTAACATGAGTAGCCTACGTTGGAACGGGACACTTAATTCCACGTTAATACCAATAACGACAAATAGTATGTTAAATAACATGGTTATAGACTTTATGTCGTTAAATAATCTTTCACAATTTAATAATTGCCTTAACAGCAAAAACCGAATTCTAGATCTAATAATGAGCTCTATGGTAATCTCTCATGTAAGTGAGAGCAAAGATCCTCTTTCAAGTGTTGACCCTCTGCATCCTCCAATTGAATTTTGTATTGATATTGTTCATAAAGAAAAACTCAATTCCCATGAAGAAGCCAGGTTTCGATTCCATAAAGCAGATTATGAAAAGATTACAAGTGATCTAAATAATATTCCTTGGCACAGTGACCTTTCCTATTGTGCTAGCGTTGACGATATGGTAGAATTCATAAAGGAATATGAAAGGCTTGGTCATTTATCTAAAGTAGACAGACCATCATTTGGGTACTTCCTACCACATCATTCTGTAATTAGAGAAACCAGCGAAACAACAAAAGTTCGTGTAGTTTTTGATGGATCCGCTAAAACTTCTTCAAAGAAATCACTTAATGACATTCAATATACAGGCCCTGTAGTACAGGATGAACTGTTTAATATCTTGATTAGATTTCGTCAACATAGGTTCGTCCTTACAGGTGACATAATGAATTTTTATCGACAGTTTTCTATAGATCCCTCTCAAAGGCATTTACAGCTGATCATCTGGCGAGACAACAAGGTTCAGCCCCTTGAGATTGCGGAATTACAAACTGTAACCTATGGCACAAATTCTGCCCCATTCCTAAGTACTAGATGTCTCAAACAGCTTGCTTTAGAATGCAATGATCCTATTGTCTCAGAAGTTATTCAAAAGGATTTTTATATTGATGACATGTTGACCGGGTCATCTTCCGAGCATGAATTGCATCATATCTATAGAAAAGTCATAGAAGTTCTTAACTCGGCATGTTTGCCTATCCATAAATTCCGAACTAACTGTCCTCAGATATTTCAACACAACACTGAAACTCAAGGCCTTGATCTTTGTAAAGAGTCTAGTGTATTGGGTGTCTTGTGGGCCCCGGACACTGACACATTACGCTTCACCCTAAATGTTGATTGTACTCAACAAAAGGTCACCAAAAGAGTAATTTTATCAAATACGTGTAAAATCTTTGACCCGCTGGGGTTAATCAGTCCCTGCACTATTGCTTTAAAAATTTTGCTACAAAGGTTGTGGCTCCTCAAGCTTGATTGGGACGATCCAGTCCCCACTGAAATAAATAATGTGTGGAAAAAGATGATAGGTAGCCTTAACTCTTTACTTACAGTTAATGTTCCCAGATTCGCGCTATGCGCTTCACCCATTTCCACAGAGCTTCACTGCTTTGTAGACGCATCCCAGAATGCCTACGCTGCCTGTCTCTACCTACGTTCAGTGGACCCCAAAGGCATAATATCCACTGCATTACTCTGTGCAAAGACACGTGTTTCCCCGATAAAGCCATTAACAATACCGCGTCTTGAGCTATGCGCGGCCTTACTCGGAGCTCGCCTCACAGCTAAGGTGACGAGTGCTCTTCGGTGCGATATTGATTGTACCTATTATTGGTCTGATTCCACCATAACATTAGCGTGGATAAATTCACAACCTCAGCTTTTGAAGGCATTCGTGTGCAATCGAGTAAACGAAATTCGTGAGCTCTCAGCTCAATCTCTATCATCGTGGAGATACGTACCCACAGCTATCAATCCCGCCGACATGGCTTCGCGAGGTCTAGAACCTAGTAATTTATCAAAGTCTGATTTGTGGTGGCGCGGACCCTCCTTCCTTCTAAGTCAGGAAACGGAGTGGCCACAACCTCCTAAATCTAAAATTAATTTATCAGAATTGAAAAACAATATTCAAGTTCATAATGCATTAAACACATTACTTGTTGACTTTGCTAGGTATTCAAACCCCAATCGGTTAATAAGAATATATGCCTACGTATTAAGATTTATAAGTAATTGTAAAAATAAAAATGTTAGTCCCTTGTGCAGTAAGGAACTCAACGATTCACTCGAGCTACTGGTTAAAAATTCTCAGTATGAATCATACTCATTAATAATAAATACCTTGAATAAAGGAAATAAACTCAAACCTAAATGTTCAATTTTGCAGTTAGCTCCGTTCATTGACCAAAGTGGAATATTGAGAGTAGGTGGTCGTCTTGATAATGCGACACTTTCTTTTGAACAAAAACATCCGGCTCTGCTAGATAGTAAACATCATTTTACGAAAATACTCATGAGACACGAACATGCTCGTCTCTTTCACGCCGGCCCTCAGCTGCTCCTTAGTTCATTTAGAAAACAATACTGGCCTATAGGCGGTAGAAATTTAGCACGCAGTACAGTTCGAAAATGTATTGTTTGTACAAGACACAAGGCCAAGACTATGGAGCCATTCATGGGAAACCTTCCTTCTAATAGGGTTTCACAATTTTATCCCTTTCAAACTTGTGGTGTTGATTTCGCGGGACCGTTCATGATTTCCAATAAAATCGGACGTGGTAATAAAATCTCAAAATGTTACCTATGTTTATTCATTTGTTTTTCTGTTAAAGCAGTCCATTTGGAAACGGTCAGCGATCTCAGCACTCAAGCGTTTATTTCTAGCCTAAAGCGATTTATCGCTAGAAGAGGCAAGCCTGATAACATTTGCTGTGATAACGGTAAAAACTTCGTGGGGGCCAACAATGAATTAGGTAGGGTAATGCGGTCAAGCCTTCGTGATCTTAAAGATTATTCCGCAAATGAGGGCATTAAATTCACCTTCAACCCACCTTATTCACCTTCACTCGGAGGTCTATGGGAGGCCGGCATAAAAAGCGCAAAGCATCACTTAAAGCGCATAGCGGGGAATACAGCATTAACTTTCGAGGAGTTGAGCACGCTTTTTACGCAAATCGAAGCGATCCTCAACTCCCGACCCCTTACTCCTTTAACATCTGACCCAAACGACCTTTCTCCTCTCACCCCAGGGCACTTCATCATCGGACGGCCGCTGACGTCACTGCCATCACCTCCGGCATCCGACTTGAAGACACGCATCCGCTGTCGATACCGAATGATCGAGGGACTGCGCCAACACTTCTGGGCACGGTGGAGAAACGAATACCTACTAGAACTCCAACAGCGGTACAAAGGACGCCATCATGAGCGAAATCTTCAAGAAGGAGACCTCGTCGTCTTCAAGGAAGATGGTCTCCCTCCTCTCAAATGGAGAATCGGACGAGCCGTGCGTCTTTACATGGGCTCTGACAACGTCTGCAGGGTGGCCGACTTCACGACGTTCCGAGGAATTGAACGACGAGCCGTAAACAAGGTCTGCCTACTACCACTTGAGGAGAACAAGGATCTTGAAAGTTGATCTTTCAAGGCCGCCGAAGATGTTCACGCGCACAGCTACGCGTGAACATCCCTAGCATGAGGGAACGGCGATGGTCTATGGACCGCGTCCCATCCCTAAGAAGCCGGACGCGTCACTAGCCACCACCGCACGCTACTGAGCACACGCGCTCTTACAACGATAATTTGTACCTTGTTACGTTATACAACTTAGTTTAAATGTTTTAAAGAACCTAACATGTAAAATAGTTTTTGTTTAAATAAATCACAAACACACAGTTCTATAAAATTCTTAGAGTTATAATTTCTAAACATGTTCCAAAATCCAAACCACGTTCTAGTAAATATCCAATATGGTTCTCCGCGGCACTGGTGAAGGTAATCAACGAAAAATTCAAATATCGCACCAAATATCGCAAATACGGAAATCCTCGAGATTTAATTACTTTTGAAATGCTACGGGATAGATGTACAAAACTCCATAACTTAAGCTATAGATTATATTTAAAACGCTTAGAGACTTCATTATCTACGAATCCAAAACTTATATGGAGCTTTATCAAGCAAAAAAGAGGAAGGATAAGCTCTTACCCTGCCCGGATGTCTTTAGGTGATGAAGTAGCTTCGTCGGGGTCAGACATTTGCAATCTTTTCGCATCACATTTTTCGTCGGTATACAACTCGGACAACATATCGATCAGTGGCCAGTCTAGTTCGTCAACCAATTGTTTAACTTCAATATCGGTAACTACTGATCAAGTTTTCAGAGTTTTAAAAAGACTGGACCCTTCGAAAGGTGCTGGTTCCGATGGAATACCTTCTATTTTTGCGATAAAATGTGCTAGTGAACTAGCACTACCACTCAGCATTATTATTAATAGCTCTCTTAACTCTGGAATATTCCCAACGGTTTGGAAAAGTGCTCTTGTAATACCATTGTTCAAAAGTGGTGACACGAGTGCGGTATTAAATTATAGACCTATATCTATACTTCCAACTTTCGCGAAGGTTTTTGAATCTATTTTGTGCCCAATAATATCGAGTCACTTCAAACATTTTATCGCACCTGAACAGCATGGATTCGCTAAGTCACGTTCCACGTCGACTAATTTGGTTTCCTTCGTGGAGGATCTTGCTGAGGGGGTTGATCGTGGGCAATCATATGATGCAATATACACCGATTTCAGCAGGGCCTTCGACAGGGTGAGCCATGTTATGTTGATACACAAACTCTCCTCTATTGGAATTGATGGCATATTTTTAAATTGGTGCAGATCATACCTGTCAAATAGGCAGTCAGTAGTTGTAGTTGGTGGGTACAAATCCAAAGAATTCACTGCCATATCTGGAGTGCCTCAAGGGTCACACTTAGGTCCATTATTCTTTAATATTTTCATTAACGACATCGGAAGCTGCGTTCAAGGGTCTAAATTCTTGATGTTCGCTGATGATTTAAAATTATATAGAACTGTGAACTCACCCGAGGAAGCAATGTCACTGCAAAATGATCTGGACAATTTGATAATGTGGTGTAGTTTAAACGGAATGAATTTGAATCCTGAAAAATGTCATGTTGTTCGATTCAGCAGGAAAAAACGCTCGCCAACCAGAGTCTATCATATTAATCAGGCATTTCTTAAGGAAGTCAGCCATACTCGGGATTTAGGTGTGATTCTGGATGGTAAATTGCGTTTTAACTTGCATGTTGATGATATTACAAATAGGGCTTTTAGGATGTTGGGCTTCGTCCTGCGTAATTGTAAGGAATTTAGGAATCCCAGCACTAATGTTACAATTTACACATGTCTCGTACGTAGTATTCTCGAATATTGCAGTCCTGTGTGGAATCCGCATTACGGTATCTATATCAAGCGCTTGGAGAATGTACAGAAGCGATTTTTATGGCACCTATCCTATGGTTGCAACATGGCTAGGAAACTTCCTAGTTATAACGATCGTCTATTACATTTTCACCTTAAATCACTTCGTCATCGTAGAGAGCTGCTTGATATCATGTTTCTGTATAAACTTATAAATGGAATTTTGGATACCCCTGATATCTTGTCCAGAGTAAACATTTCTGTTCCTAAAAAGCTGCAACGATTTGCAAAGCCTCCTTTCAGAATTAAGTTTGCAAAATCAAATCTGGGTCAGAATGCTCCATTAAATAGATCTTTAAGGAGTTATAATTTAATTCATAGCGTTGAAATTGATGGTGGTATTGGATCGCAATGGGGGGGTCGTGAATTCCCCCAAATAGATCTGTTTTCAAACTCCCCATCAATTTTCAAAAAGTTAGCGGCTCAGCTGATTACTCATTAAGACTATGGGGTTATTCAATTAATTCAATTAATTTTGTAATGTTTTTATTTTATTTTATTTTATCTTAACTTTATTTTTTCTTCTTTTAATGTGTTTATAAAACTTTAGAATGTTGTATGCGCCTATAATTGGGGTAGCACTTGGCTTGTGTTTGTGTTTGTGTTACATTGCTTGTATTAGTGTTTACTTTGTTGGTGCATAAATAAATAAATAAATAAATAAATAAATAAATATTAGAAATAGAACTTTAGTAAGAGATGTTCTCGAAACTTTAAAAAAACAAAAATTTCATAGAATTAGGTCGGAAAGCGCAGCAAAAATACTAAATAGACCATTCGAGTCGCCAAATGCTTCAGTTATCCCGGAAATTATGACAGTGAAACATAAATTTCGACAATTAAATATTCCGACAAAGAGACTAATTTGCCACATGTTTGTTGTCATGACGCAGTCTGACATCGAAACTGAGCCTCAATTCCAGAATTCTCCACAAGGATGACCAATACAGAAAATTGCTTAGTAACCAAATGAGAATCAAAAACACACTTGCTCATTTTGAATTAATACTAACAGTTGTAATAGCTATCAGTCTGATAGAGTCGAAAACGTTATTTCTGGTTTCTTGGTTAAAATCCCAATCGCGAGTAAAAAGTTAAATTCACACCTTTTTGTTCACGATGTTTATATATACAGTGTAGTCCGTTTAGTACGACTTCGCATTTAACAACCGACCGTTTACAGCGACGTCAGTATAGGCATACGTTTGGTTTTGTTATGAGCAACCATGGAAATACGAGTACATCCGTTTATTGCGACTCCGCTTACAACGACCGACCGCTTTCAACGACGAAATTTCACAAATAATTGTCCTGTTACAAAGACGAGCGTTGACATGTGCACAAATAAATCGTTAGTAAGAAGCTAACTTCGTCCCGCGCAACCCCCCCCTTGTGTAAAGACTCATTTATTCCGTGCGGTAAGCAATTGCTATCTTATGTGGAGTTCTTAACGGTTTTAAGCCAAATTGAAGCAATTCTTAATTCCAGGCCTTAAGGGATACTAAGTGAAGATCCATTCGAACCAAGTCCCTTGACGCCTGCTCATTTTTTAAATTTAAAGCCATTAAATTACCTGCTTTCATCTAACATTGAAGAAGAAAGGATGCAACTCCTGTCTCGGTACCATTTATTGGACAAATTAGTTCAATCATACTGGAACCGAAACAATACAATACAAAAATGCGTTTTTTGTATTGCACTTGGGACGAATTTAAGGCTAGGAGGCTAGGCCAAAACATAAAAATCTACTGGATTAATTTAAAAATCATGGTCACTTGTTTCTAAAATACCGCTGGAGTATTTAAAAATATTGAAATAGAATCAAAATAAGGGAAGTCCTTAAAACAACAAAAAAATATTTAGATGTGTTCCATCTACTACTATGAGGACAAACTTGGCAAAGTGGATGCGGGATAGTGTAGATTGGTATTCTATAAACGGAAGACAGAGTAAGAAGAAGTGAGAATGACCATTGCCTGAAAACCAGTTCAGTCCAGTATATCCCACTCCTACGTTTCACTAGAGATTTTACAGCTTATATTACAGTAAGCTGAACATATCATTATATTCGATACGAGTGAGGACAGGCGTTATTCAATATATTCTCTAGTTTAAAGTAAGTTGTTTGTTTACTTGCATATTATAAACCTAACCTAATTAAATAAAATCTGTCAACAGCAAAGCATTCTTTATTGGACAATTTCAAAGAAGCAAGAAATTTAACGCTAAAAGACCGCTTCAGTATCACAAATATTAGAAATAGAACCTTAGTAAGAAATGTTCTCGAAACTTTAAAAAACAAAAATTTAATAGAATTAGGTCGGAAAGCGCAGCAAAAATACTAAATCGACCATTCGAATCACCAAATGCTTCAGTTATCCCGGAAATTATGACAGTGAAACATAAATTTCGACAATTAAATATTCCGACAAAGAGACTAATTTGCCACATGTTTGTTGTCATGACGCAGTCTGACATCGAAACTGAGCCTCAATTCCAGAATTCTCCACAAGGATGACCAATACAGAAAATTGCTTAGTAACCAAATGAGAATCAAAAACACACTTGCTCATTTTGAATTAATACTAACAGTTGTAATAGCTATCAGTCTGATAGAGTCGAAAACGTTATTTCTGGTTTCATGGTTTAAATCCCAATCGCGAGCAAAAAGCTAATTTCACACCTCTTTGTTCACGATGTTTATATATACAGTGTAGTCCGTTTAGTACGACTTCGCATTTAACAACCGACCGTTTACAGCGACGTCAGTATAGGCATACGTTTGGTTTTGTTATGAGCAACCATGGAAATACGAGTACATCCGTTTATTGCGACTCCGCTTACAACGACCGACCGCTTTCAACGACGAAATTTCACAAATAATTGTCCTGTTACAACGACGAGCGTTGACATGTGCACAAATAAATCGTTGGTAAGAAGCCAACTTCGTCCCGCGCAACCCCCCCTTGTGTAAAGACTCATTTATTCCGTGCGGTAAGCAATTGCTATCTTATGTGGAGTTTGTTACGTATCTGTGATTTAATGTTGTCTATGTGTTTCCGTTTCCTGTTACCTGTATAGTACAGTATGTCTCGGACCGCCTGTCATGGCTGAATATATATTTATGTGTGTGAATAATTGCAATGTAGTCTTATTTTAATAACCGCTTACCTGGCCACCCACTATAACATGGTGTCAGAAGTTTAAGTAGTGAACCAGAAAAGAACACAGAAGCCGACAGAGATAAACGCTACAAAAATTTTCACGTAAAACGTCGCCGCGTGGTTCAGCCTAAAAATGTCGGATAAAAGTACAAGTTGTCCTCTGCCGCCGAGTAATTTCAGTATTGATATTAACGCCTCGAATATGCCTTTGGCTTGGAGAAACTTTAAAACTAGTCTTGGTATTTATATGATTGCCAACGATTTGGAAAAAGAATCAGACAAAAGAAAGGTAGCCATTTTGTTACAAACTATTGGCTCAGACGCTCTCCAAATATTTTACTCGTTTAATACTGAAATAGATAAGATCACCTACAAGGATCTACTCGCCAAATTTGAAGACTATTTTACGCCGCGTGTGAATATATCTGTCGAAAGGCATAAGCTGTTCAATAGAAAACAAGGTCCAGATGAAGAAATTGAGACATATGCCACTGATCTCAAGAACCTAAGCATCCAATGCAATTTCGAAGGTCTTGCGGACGATATAGTAAAGGACATATTCTCATGGAACTTAAATTCATCTTGCTCATACATCAGAGAACGTATCCTGATCGAGAAACCATCTTCGTTTGATGCAGCCGTCAGTCTCGCTAAAACGCTAAGAAATACAAGGTTAGAGGCCAAAGCCTTATCAAGCCATGAAGTAAGTGTCGTCAGTCGTCAATCACATCACAGTCGTCTAACAAAACGTGGTCAAGAGAGTCACAGGCAAAGAAGTCATAATCGTCAAAGAAGTCATAGCCGTCAAGAAAGTCTTAGTCGTCACGATGCTTCATCGTCCAGTCAAGAACATCAGTCTAAACAGTCATCCAAGAACTGCTCCAGATGTGGTCAAGTTCACCGTACAAAATGTCCAGCCATGGGAGTCATCTGTAACAACTGCCACAAGCCGAACCACTTTGCCAAGTGTTGCCGCAGCAGACATGTGAGATTCATAGAAGAAAACAGTATGGGTAATCCCAATGATCCTTATTTTATAAATAGTCTTTTCACTAATGAGATTTCTGTCAGCCAAAGAAACCCTTATCATATAACTTTGTCCATAAATAGTAAGAATGTAGACTTTTTACTTGACACAGGTGCTGACACTAACATTTTATCATTTAACTCTTACAAAAAACTTAATTTATCATTGAGTAGTTTAAAGAAAAGTAATCACAAACTTTCAACCTTTAGCGGTGAAGTATTACCTACAGTAGGTCAATGCATTCTGTCTGTCACACATAACAACAGAGTATACAATGTCAATTTCCACATTATAGATATACCTTGTAGAATTATTATTGGTCGCAACAGTTGTGAGAATTTAAAATTAGTCAAAAGAGTCCATAATGTCCAATTTCATGAGTCTGTCAATGTATCACAGCTTGTTGAATATAAAGATCTCTTCTCAGGAATAGGTTGTCTTAAAGATTACGAATGTCATTTGTCAATGAAGCCTGATGCTGTACCATCTATAGATGCCTGCCGTAGAATTCCATTCAGTCTCTTAGAACAATTAAAAGAAGAATTAGCCATGTTAGAAAAAGATCAAATTATAACCAAAGTCGAGGAACCTACTGAATGGGTTAGCTCAATTGTAATTGCCTCAAAAAAGAATGGTAAACTACGCCTGTGCATTGATCCAAGAAAACTTAATAAAGCCATTATGCGTCCTCATTATCAATTTCCAACTATTGATGAAATTAAATCCAGCCTCTCTGGTACACAATATTTCACAACATTAGATGCAAACAAAGGTTTTTATATGCTTAAATTAGATGAAGCTTCTTCAAAGCTATGTACATTCATCACACCTCAAGGTAGATATAGATTCCTAAGACTACCCTTCGGAATAAATGCAGCCCCAGAACTGTTTCATTCCATCATGACAAATAGATTCAGTGACATTTCAGGAGTCCAAATTATGATGGACGATTTCCTAATTTATGGTCAAACAAAAGAAGAACATGATTTTAGGTTAAAACAAGTCTTAGATAGAGCTAGGGAGTTAGGAATAAAATTTAATAAAGAAAAGTCTAATATATTTAAAAGTGAAGTCAAGTACTTAGGACACATCTTTTCTAAAGATGGTGTGAAAGTTGATGAAAACAAAGTTAAAGCCATTTGCAGTATGCCACCCCCTACAAATGTCACAGAATTACAAAGATTTTTAGGTATGGTTACATACTTAGGCTCATACATAGAGAATCTGTCAGAAAAAACTTCTAATTTAAGAATGCTTTTGTCTAAAGAAAATGAATGGTCTTGGCAAGAGAGACATAACATAGAATTTAATGTCTTAAAAGAGTCTATAACTAAAGCCCCTGTCTTAACATATTATGATCAAAATAAACCTATTACACTGTCAGTTGATTCGTCTAAAGATGCCATGGGTGCAGTGATTTGCCATGATAAACACCCCATTGCATATGCTTCAGCTTCATTAAGCTCATGTCAACAGTCATACTCTCAGATTGAGAAAGAGCTATTAGCAATCCTATTTGGTTGTACAAAGTTTCACCAATATATCTATGGTCGCCACACTTTAGTTGAAACAGACCACAAACCAATAGTATCGCTCTATAAAAAACCAATTTACAACATTCCACCCCGTCTTCAAAGAATAATGCTGAGATTACAACCATATGACCTCAATGTAACTTACAAACCAGGTAAATATCTTTATGTAGCTGATACTCTGTCCAGAGCAGCTTTACCAGAACAGTCATTACATGATCTTGATTCTGACCTAGATTTACATGTCAATTTAGTCATTAGATCACTGTCAATTAGTCCAAATAAACTTAAATCTATTCAAGAACAAACTTCCCAAGACAAGGAATTATCACTCTTAAGTAAATGTTGCATAGAAGGTTGGCCTGAACATAAAAAATTACTTCCAGACATCCTTAGGTCTTATTTTCCTTTAAAAACTGATATACACATTATTAATGGTATTGTCTTCAAAAACAACAGTGTCATTATACCAGTAGCCATGAGGAATGACATATTGAAACAGATCCATGAAGGTCACCAGGGCATTCATAGTTGCCAAAGATTGGCAAGAAATCTAGTATACTGGCCTAATATGTACTCTGATATAGAAAAATATGTAAATAATTGTCATAGCTGTCTCACTAACAGACGCAGCAATTCCAAAGAGCCACTACTGCCTCATGAAGTAAAACCAATCCCTTGGAATAAAGTTGGAGTTGATCTATTTGATCTGAATTTACACAAGTATGTCATAGTCGTTGATTATTTTTCCCAATATGTCGAGCTTGTTAAGCTAGTTGGTGGTTCCACTAGTAAAATTGTCATTAGTCACTTAAAGTCTATTTTTTCCAGACATGGAATACCCAACATTCTAATTTCAGACAATGGTCCCCCATTTAACTCAAAAGAGTTTCATAATTTTGCTTTAGATTGGCAAATTCAACATATTACATCAAGTCCCTATCTTCCACAGTCTAATGGTCTTGTAGAAAGAACCATAGGCACGGTTAAGCATATATTAAAGAAATGTCTTACTGATAATACAGACCCTCATTTAGCATTATTACAGTATAGGAATACACCTAAAGAAAGCATGTATTCACCTGCCCAATTACTAATGTCCAGGTCACTCAGAACTAAACTTCCAGTCTTAGAACAGACTCTAAAACCTAAAATACCTAACTATAGGTCTCTAATAAATAAAACTCAAATAAAAAAGAATAAATCACAAATTTATTATAATAAACATACTAAACCGTTGTCTTCCCTAAACATTGGTGATAAAATATACTTCAAGAAACAGCCAGACAGTATTTGGACACCTGGTACTGTTTCTGACATAGGTCCACAGCCTAGATCATATACTATTGTCTCCCCGGAAGGTACTTTTCGTCGTAATCGCCAACACATCCTACAACCAAAACTTTCACCCTCTGAGTCCTCTCCTAGTAGTACAGTGAAATTAGTCTCGAGAAATTTTTGCATATGTAGTGGTGTGTATATTACTCAGATCTTAGAGCGCGTTTCCACTATATCGTTCTGGCCTATACAAAAATGTTTCGATATCCTAACATTACTATTTAATATTATACTTATCCCTAGCAACACTCTGATTTTTGTTATCAATAAAAACAAGTTTTTATTTAAAAAAAAAGGTTTTGACTTTATAAAAAAAAGGTGTGTGCGCGATTCACACACGATAGAAGTGAAACTTCAAAGAGGAGAGACCGATATATATTTTTTTTTCCTTTCATCTAGGTTTTTAAAACTCCGGGGGGTCTACGGGGGGTCAAAATTTATTTTTGGCCTAGGACGCACCGTTTCCGAGATATTTCAATCTAAAGCAAAAAATCGTCACTTGATAGTGGAAAGTGGAAACACGCACAAAACCAGAATAAACCAGTTTACGCTGTCCGCAGGTGCCACGTGCAGTCCGGCGTCAGTCGCTTGGTACTGTTAGAACATAAAGCACACATTTCATTCAAAAATTATAATTATTACGTTAATTGTTAAATTTTGTATTTGTTGATTGTTGTTATTGTTTGTTATTATTGTTATAATATTTGTTGAAGTGTTTAATTTGTGTGTAAGTGTTGCAACTTTATATTGTTAATTAAAAATGGCTCCAGTGTTAAAACATGGTCGAGGCAAGCCTTTGACTTCTCAAACTAAAGAAGTTTTGTACTGTTTGTACAAATATTTCGAAAATGAGTGTAATAACAACCCGAGCAGTATTATGACTCCCACTCAATTAGTTGCTAAATCAACGGGAATTTCAATAGCATCCGTCAGAAAGGTAGTATCAGAAAGCAAATGTCGACCTTCAGATCAGGAAGTAACATTTAAATCTCCTAAAAAGAAACCGAATCGTAAACCTACAATAGTAATCGATAACTTTGATCAGCAAGTTATCAGAAGAACAATTCATGACTTCCACATCACAAATAAAGAAATTCCCACTTTGAAAACTTTGCACGCAAAATTAAAAGAAGATATCGATTATAAAGGTTGTGTCAGCACGTTACGAAAACACGTCATGTCATTAGGTTTTAATTGGAAGCAAACAGAAGATAACCGGAAACTTCTTATGGAAAAACACGAAATTAGATACTTGCGAATTAATTATTTGATGAAAATTGCTGAATATCGTGAACAACGCCGACCAATTGTTTACACCGACGAAACATATATACATACATCACATACCCTCTCGAAATCTTGGTCAGATGGAAGCACTTCAGGTTTGAAGCAACATATATCGAAAGGCAACCGCTTAATCATTGTTCATGCCGGTGGTATGGATGGCTTTATACCAAATGCATTGCTTATGTTTAAAGCCAACCAAAAAAGTGGAGATTACCACGACAATATGAACTATGACAACTATTCAAGGTGGATTCAAACTCAATTAATACCCAACTTACAACCAAATAGTGTTGTTGTTGTTGACAACGCACCATATCATAACTCAATACAAAATCCTGCACCGAATAGTAATTCTAGAAAACAGCAAATGATTGACTGGCTGACATTGCGAAACATTGAGCATTCATCCACGTTGCTTAAGCCTCAATTATATGAACTGATTCTGCAAAACAAGGCGAGATTTGTAGAGTACAAGATAGACGAAATATTACGACAGCACGGTCATACTGTGCTGCGTTTACCACCATACCATCCGGAGTTTAATCCTATAGAAAATATATGGGGGATAGTGAAAACATATGTCGCAAAAAAGAATGTCGCAATGAATATGAAGGTTATAATGTCATTAGCTGAAGAAAAAATGAACGCCATAACTGTAGAGGAATGGAGAAAAGTTTGTCTGCATGCTATTGAGGAGGAAAACAAATATCAGGGTAGAGACGCAGCTTTAGACACAATATCAGAACGAATCATAATTAATTTAAATAATTCATCTGATGAAAGCGAGGATGGGGATGATTGTGATATGCCTGGGGTTGATGAATTATTAGAATAAAACATTTATGGCCGGAGAACACCTAATTCATACACGTCTTCACTGAAGTGAAAACCGGCATTCACTGCTTGTAATATTTGGAACTGGCTTATCTGCCTCATACAGTTCCATAGATTACAATGCAGTGGATACACATTTTCACGTCCGTATTAGTACGTAGTGCGTATGCGTAGACGTGTACGCATTTGGTGTGCTCCAGCCACAAACGTATATTACCTTTAAAAAAATAAAAACTAAAAATAAAATGTTGTTTTTTTTTTATTTGCTGACCATACACTACTACAAACGCAAAAATTTCTCCAAGCTAATTTACCTGTAGTTCACTTCCATCTCCGTCAGTCCCACAAGATCAGACAACGTCCCCTTCCAATGTATCGCCGTCACCTCCATCGAATTATCAATCCCCTTGTAGAAATAATCCTGTCCAAGAATCTAAAACAAAAACAAACACATCACATACACCAAATACACGTACTCACCACACAACTTATTCTTCATTCGGCAGAGCTATCATAAAGCCCCGAAGATTTTGGTAATTAGTCTAGATTAAGTTCATAATTTGTACTTAGTTTGTAAATGTATTGTTTAATGTCTTTAACCTAATTTTGTTTTGTGTAGCTGTCAAAACACAGTTATGTCAATTTAGTAGACGTCAATGTGAGAACTGTCAAAATTGAAAATGTCAGTCAAGTCAATGTTCCGTACCATTATTTTAGTCTAATAGTATGTAAGAATTTTGTCAACGTAAAAAAAAAAAAAAAAAAGTGTATACTTACGTACGTACTATGTTCCACTTTATGCCATGTTTTCTTTTCTTAATAAGGGAGATGTTACGTATCTGTGATTTAATGTTGTCTATGTGTTTCCGTTTCCTGTATAGTACAATATGTCTCGGACCGCCTGTCATGGCTGAATATATATGTGTGTGAATAATTGCAATGTAGTCTTATTTTAATAACCGCTTACCTGGCCACCCACTATAACAGTGTTCTTAACGGTTTTAAGCCAAATTGAAGCAATTCTTAATTCCAGGCCTTTAGGGATACTAAGTGAAGATCCTTTCGAACCAAGTCCCTTGACGCCAGCTCATTTTTTAAATTTAAAGCCATTAAATTACCTGCTTTCATCTAACATTGAAGAAGAAAGGATGCAACTCCTTTCTCGATACCATTTATTGGACAAATTAGTTCAATCATACTGGAACCGAAACAATACAATACAAAAATGCGTTTTTTGTATTGCACCTGGGACGAATTTAAGGCTAGGAGGCTAGGCCAAAACATAAAAATCTACTGGATTAATTTAAAAATCATGGTCACTCGTTTCTAAAATACCGCTGGAGTATTTAAAAATATTAAAATAGAATCAAAATAAGGGAAGTCCTCAAAACAACAAAAAAATATTTAGATGTGTTCCATCTACTACTATGAGGACAAACTTGGCAAAGTGGATGCGGGATAGTGTAGATTGGTATTCTATAAACGGAAGACAGAGTAAGAAGAAGTGAGAATGACCATTGCCTGAAAACCAGTTCAGTCCAGTATATCCCACTCCTACGTTTCACTAGAGATTTTACAGCTTATATTACAGTAAGCTGAACATATCATGATATTCGATACGAGTGAGGACAAGCGTTATTCAATATATTCTCTTGTTTAATGTAAGTTGTTTGTTTACTTGCATATTATAAACCTAACCTAATTAAATAAAATCTGTCAACAGCAAAGCATTCTTTATTGGACAATTTCAAAGAAGCAAGAAATTTAACGCTAAGGGCCGAAACACATAAGCGCGTTGCGGCGCCGCGCCGCTGAAATCGGCAGTGCGCTATAGCGGTGCGGCGCCGCAACGCACGACGTGAATTCCAGCGTTATGACGTCATACTTGTTGACAATGATGCAGTTTGTTTCTAACACTCTTGCAAACAACACGTGTCAACCGAGAAGCAGTTTTAAAATTAAAATGTCTGACGTTGACGTCGATCTGTTTATATCTTCGGTTCAGGAACACCGTTGTTTGTGGGATACTAGTGACGAAACCTATAAAGACAAATTTATAAAACAAGAAGCATGGAAAAGCATTTGTGAGATCGTTTATGTTGATTACAAGGAAAAAAACTCAACCGAAAAATCAAAACTGGGTAAGTAGTAACATATAGTCTTAGGCAATGATATTTTAAACTAAAGATAAGTTATGTTCATAGTAATTTACGTTTTAAATCTGTTCCTGTGTTTAAATCATTACCTCCCAGCAATCCAAAACTGCACACATTTGCAAGTTTTACTGATAAGCAAACCAAAAGATATGAAATAAAACGCAATTGAAAGAGATAGCTATAATTTTAATGGTTGCACTTCAAACGTTTCTTGTGCATAGAGTAACATTTATAGTCGTAGAGTGGACACTTGATTCAAAACTATATTCATATTTTGTTTAATTGCCAACTTAGGGCGCCAACATCACTGGAAAAGTAATTACAAAAATCATTCCGTATTAGATGTGGGCTTAAATTATTTTCATTTGCTGTGGGCAAATGCAACATTTGCAGATCAGAATCATCAAAGATAATGTCATCGGTCGCTTGTACTCCATCTCGATTCAAAACAAAGTTGTGCATTACACAACATGCCTTGATAATGTCTGTCGCAAATTCGTATTGCACATTCATAGATCGATGAAATATGCGCCATTTATTGGCTAGGATGCCAAAAGCGCACTCGACATATCTTCGGGCACGACTCAGTCGATAATTGTAAACTCTTTGTTGTACCGACAAATGTTTTCCTGAGTAAGGGCGCATGACGTTATTCGAAATTGAGAATGCTTCATCTCCTACAAAAACAAATGGAGTTTCATTTTGAGAACCTGGTAAAGGCTTTGGTACAGGAATAGGTAATTTGCGTGTCATAATCAAATCATAAAGTTTAGAGTTCTGGAAAACGGTGGAGTCACTTTCCTTGCCATACGCTCCTATATCGACAAAAATGAATCTATATCTAGAATCTACAAGAGCTAATAAAACTATTGAATTATAGCCCTTATAATTGTAAAACAGTGATCCACTGTGCGCAGGACATGTAATACGGACATGTTTACCATCAAGAGCTCCTATGCAGTTAGGAAAATTTGCTT